TGTGTGTGTGTGTGTGTGTGTGTGTGTGTGTGTGTGTGTGTGTGTGTGTGTGTGTCCGTCCCATTGTTCAGCAGGCCTAACTGAGGAGGCGACCGGCTGGAGCACAAACAGGGAGCCAGATCCTCAGCCTTTGTTCTGATCCAAACACACACACACACACACACACACTACCAGCCAACGTACACACAGTGCTAACTGAAACACACACACATTCTCTCACACACACACACACCCCTACTTCCTCCAGCAAATTGAAAAAAACATGTCAAATTAAGGCCAGACACAGTGTTGTGCCCCAAATAGTTTGTTTAATTGATTGAAGAGTCAGTCTGTGTTCACTGTGCTGCAGAAATCAACTGGAGTAACGTCGGAGTGAGTTTGAGGCATTAATGTGGAGACACACCCAGAGCTGAGCAGAATGACACACTGGAGACCAGCTGAAGTCTAAACCCACAATAAAGTAGCTGACATTAAGGAGGACAGGCTCCCTGGTGCTGTGCAGCCGGCGTGAGGCAGCCCCCCCGCCCCTGGCACGCTACCAACACACACACACACAAAGAAAAACACACAAACATACTGAAGGTCTGTAAACACATAAAAGCATCAGCATGCACACTAGGACAACAACTGGACACTACACCAAGGATGCATAAACCGATTCCCTCGGTTTTCTTCTCTGTCGGGTTTGTGAGGGAGAGATTCATCAGCCGTCACCCTGCGGGGTTTAACTCACACCAGCCAAGGTCGGAGTCTGATGTCTCGTTTCCTGCCAGCGGGGGGGTGAAGGATGCAGAAAGAGTGTCAGGGCTGAATCATAGCCAGACGCAACATGGAGCCACATTTTTGTTTTTCAAACCTCATACGACACAATACTTGATTTAGAGCCAGATGGTGAATCTGATCTGACCCGATGAGTGGTTTTCATCACTTCTGAGAGTTTGCACTGGAGTCAGCACAGATCAGGCCAACCCAAACCCTGGAGTCTGACAGTTTGAACTAGTAACGTGTCGTAATCTGAACGCAGAGCGGCTGCTTTAACAACTAGAGCCACAAACGTCAGCTCTTCAATGATTCATTTAACATTTATTAGTGTTCTTGCTGACAGATGAGAAGATCAAATCCACTTTCAACTCCATGTAGAACTAGAATTGTTGTCACGCCAGAGTCAGGCTAGCTGTTTCCTACTGATTTCAGTCTTTAAGCTGAGCTAAGCTAATGAGTTACGAGCTTTTTCAAACATTATTGGGCATTCCTGCCTTTGATGGGCCCACGTCTGTGAAATATGGAGAGAGTCTCGGTGACATGCAGCAAAGAGGAGCTTTGGCCCGGTACAAATGGAGAATGGTACGAATCTCGCTCAGAGTGTGAAAACCTCTGACGTTGCTGATGCCCTCTTTGACGCATATGGAGACGGTTTAAATCGCACAGGCTCGACTAGACCATCCCACTTTGAAGGATCCTCCAAAAAAAGGCCTTTCATCACAGAGCAATGAAGACTTCAACTGCTGGATCCCTCTCTGTGCTTTGGACACAAACTGTTTTTCAATGTTTCACCTCAACTGAACTGAGGGGACTTGAAATAATCGTCCCTAAACCAAAAGGTCTCATTTCGGTTCAGCCTTCGTGGCCCCGAACAGCCTGTGTAGTCAGTGTCCTAGAAAAAACTGGGACACAGATTTAGTTGTGCAAATCCCACTTTCCAGAACCAGGGGATCACACGTCCAGAGAACATTCAAGGGGAGCTGCCTCATTGCCTTTAAGCAGATGCCGTCAGGATTTCAATGGTTAATCAACGGTTACTGTGTAAAATAAAAACAGCGTGGTCCCAACGGGAATCGAACTCTGCATAGACCATTAGGAACCGAACAGAACAATGAAACCCTGCTGTCACCTCACCGATTGGCCTGGAGAACCATCAGCTGTACAGAGCTCGGTGGTCACACCAGGAGCCGACAGGATGTGATGGACTCTCGTCCATTTAGCTGATGACAAACCAGCGCTCAGTCCTCACCCGCACCTCAGTTTAGGGGCAGAACAGGCCACGTAATGGCCTGTGGAGCTCCAGGCTAAATATCTGATAATTGTATCTCAGTCTCTATGAGGGTCGTTAAACAGCCTCTCAGGGAATTTGTGACCAGGGATGAGCAGAGTGGACATTACGAGCCGGAAACGAGCAACAGCACAGGGTCAGATTAACGGCTGCTGTGAACGCTGCGAGCACGAATTAGGGGAGAGCAGAGACAGAGGCTCAGCTGTAATGGTTTCTGACATTACGAGGAAAAACATCAAGCTGCAACGTGTTTGAGTTTAAATGGAGTCAAGTTAATTTAATGTGGCTTCATTTTTAGTTCATGGTGAATCAGGAAGTAAAAAAGCAACGATGATAGATTCATAAATGACAAATTACCTGAATTTAAAAACTGGAATTTACTGCGTCTGAGATCACCATCTTAATCAGCAACAATTAAATGCGAGACATAAAATCCACAGTTTTGATTGGACAAAGCGGCTTTTGAACTGACCCACTTGAGCTGCTAATAAAAACCCAGCTTCAACCGCCATGTTGGCTGAGGACCGCCCGGCGAAAAGCCGCCACAGAGATGGGCCGCGAGCAGCTGTCGGTTTTAAAAACATCTGGAGCCAGTTTAATTCCACTCAAACATTTAATCCACGTCACGATGATCCCGTTGTTGGCGAGTTAAACGTGGTCTTCAGACCTCCTGCTCATTAGAGACAGATTTGAGCTGCGGGGTGGCAGACAGAGCAGCGAGGACATGGGTCCAATCACCTAAGAGAGCAGCCAACCCGTGTCCTTGCGCAAGGCATTAGACTAGCTATAGAGTTCACTTAAGGGATGTCAGATATCTGTGGCACTAAAGACAGACTCAGCAGAACCACTGCCACCAAATGCAACAGATGGAGACTTCATTTCTATAACATCGACATCTCAAGATCGTACAGGTCTGCTGCCAGTTTCGTGTCATTCCATAGATCAACGGTAACGTGCCAACAAAGGTGCGCGAGAACGAAAATGTCCAAGTCAGTTGCTTTGGACATTTTCTGGAACTTCTCCTGGTAAAAATCTCCACATGAGCCAATGTGAGAATTCAGCAGGAAAAGGTCTCAGCTATGAATTTCTATGAGATAATATTTAATTCAACAGCCGCCTTCAAACCGGCCTCCATTTTGTGCCTGCGACTGAGAGAGGAGTTCACTCCTGTCAGAGAGAGAAGTGGATAAATATCCCAGTGACAAGTAAACAAAGCGAGGCAACAGAACAAACAGACTCAGGACGAGAGAGAGACCGAGGGGAGGAAAATAAAAGGATGGATGGATCATACTTTCTGAAAGAACCAAAACCACTGAACCACACAGTATTCTCTCCATCTCTCTCCTGTAACCAGGAACTAAATATAGATTTAAAGAGCATTAATTACAATATTCCCATCATTCATCACAGACAGGACAGCACCACGGTCTCTCTGCTTCTCAACGTTTTCCTTGTCTCAAACCAAATCCCAACAATAATTTTTTGTGCAGAGTCACAGGGGCGTTTAGGGCATGACTCACACGTTTCCATCAAAACCAGCATCTTTCTTCAGTCAAATTCAGGGAAAGGTACAAAAGACGGTTGTTTTATTTCAACACCGGTCCAGTGTGCAGCATGAGGGACGGCGCTGACCCCAGACACACACACACACAGCAGCCAGGCCTGAAGGCTGCAGTCCCAGGGAGGAGTGGGGGAGGGGGAAGAGGAGGCTGTGGAGGACAAGGCATGAGGGAAGCTGTGAGAGAGATGTTGAAGAAGAAGAAGAAGAAAAGAACAATGAGGGGAGAGGTGAAATGAGGTGAGAAAGACGTGGATGGAAAAACGAAGCAGGGGTGAGGGAAGAAGGAAGGAAGGAAGAAGGCGGAGGGACAAACTTGTATCTCTGCCCACTCCATGTGCGTCTCTACAGCTGAGACACACATGGACAGAATTAACTCACACACACACACACAAAAAACACTGATAAAATCTGACAAAAACAAAGAGAAAGCAACGTTCAAGTCAGGAGTGTGTTCGCCTGGAGACGGTTCTGACCCAGTATTGGTACGAGCCGGGTCCATCATCAACAAACACCCTGAGTCTGCAACGTCAACTTCTAAAGAAACACCAACCGACCCGAAGACGCCAGATTCTTTCAAACCTGTAGAAAAATTCACTTTTACTGTTTTTACAAAGCATCCTGTGTGAATCCCTCCTCTCACCTGTACCTTTGAATGATGCGTGGCACACGTGCACGTGGAACATGTGTTTACATGTGACACTGGAGAGATGTCAGCAAACATTTACACGGGTGGAGCAGGTAAATGCATAGAAACATGCGTGTGCAGATTCAGGAAGGCCTGTTGGTTGTGAACATATAGGCCAACATTAATGTGTGTGTGCACTGTGGGGGGGGGTCTGACATTCCATCACTTTAAGGGGATGACACACACACACACACACACACACACACACACACACACACACAGTGTTCCATGAAGCACCAAGGCTGCAACACACACTCACTCTCTCTTTCCCACACACCCAAGCACATTCAGTGACCCAGAGCAGCACTGGGCCTGCAACACACACACACACACACACACACACACACACACACACACACACACACACACACACTGACCCATGCAGAACCGGGCCTGCAGCACACACTCACCGGACCACCACACCCACCTTGCCGGGTGGAGACGTTCCTCTCGTTGGCCGCGGTCAGCACCACCTGTGGGTGACTCTGCTCCAGCACGAACAGCTCATCCTTGCCCACGCGCGCGCTCTTGCCGGACTTCATGGTACCGGAGGGTCCGGAGGGCGCGAGGTACCGGCCGCCACAGTCCCTGAAGGCCACCTTACCGGAGCGGAACTCCAGAGTGTAGCCGGTGCTCCTGTCCGTGGTGGCGAGCAGCGCGCCGTCGTTGCTCAGGAAGCGGTTGTCGGAGGTCTGCAGGTGGTACCGCTGCTCCCGGAACACCAGCGTGATCATGGAGTCCACCCCCCACGGGACGTCCCGGTCGATGGCGATCTCGTCCACCTTGGAGCTCAGGTGCGCGTACCGCTTGCGCGTCAGGCTGAAGATGTTCACCTGCGGGTGCATGGCGATGTGCACGCTCCACTTCTCCGCCACGGACGCGGTCTGGGCGAAGCAGATGATCCGGTCCTCGGTGCCGCCCAGGTAGCGGCCGTGCGACTCGGACTGCAGCGACCAGCGGCCGTCATCGTGCGCGGTGATGACGAAGCGGCACTCCGGGCCCGGGGTCTCGCTGTCCCCGGTGACGTTCCCGTCCTTGTCGGCGGCGATGTACCGGCCCAGATGTGACTTGAGGACGAAGACGTTGCCGCTGGACTCGTCGCCGCTTTGCTCCAGAGTCCAGATCTGCTTCTTCTTCATGCTCGAGGCGGACGCGTTGATCTTGAAGCCGAACGTCTCCGCCGTCAGGTACTTGTTCCCGCAGTTGATGAGACCGAACTGGATCTGCAGCATGTCGCTGGTTCCGTTGGCGGAGCCGTTGGTGCTCATGGTCGGATCTGTGCGAGCCTGGGACCGGACCGGTTCTGTGGGGGGGGGAGGGGGATCTGAGAGTGCCTGTGCGCTCGCGGCTGAAAGGGTGAGATGATGCTGCGCTGCCTCGCGTGCTTCTCTTTGTTTGGGGGGAGTGAGTGAGTGTGTGTATGTGTGTGTGTGTGTGTGGCTGAGAGGGAGTCCGTGAGCGCGCGCAGTGCTCTGCCTGTCTCAGCAGCGCGAGCCCGCCGCCACAGCTGCAGCATATATAAGCACCGGTGACGTAACGCTGCAGGCCACGCCCCCCTCCGATGAACAGAAATCTGGGAGCTGAAGTGAACTTTTCTTCTGAGAGTTATTTCACTGAAACTTCCATTAAATCTGGTTTTCAGACCTGCACTGAACTCCTGACACCCTCCACAGGAGCTGGATGTCAGAACGCAAATGTCCGAGTGAGATGCTCCGGAGTTTCTCCGGAGTTTCTCCAACCAGCCCCCTGGTGAAAACCCCAGAGAATGTCCGAATGAGCCGCAGTGAGAAGATGGCAGGAGATCCTCCGCAGGATTAGCTGCTTCGTGTCCGTGACATTTCTAGTGCTCACAAATCAGACGCTCAAATCTGTGACGAGAGTTTACGCCACAATCGATGTGCTGCGAACAAAAACACTGATGATGTCCACAGCTGAATTTATACGTTAACGTCCTTCCTCCGCCTGCTGCACCAACGCTCACCTGAACACTCCGGAGATTTCTGTGTTGTTGTGATCGTGTCTGAGCTGGAGAATCTCCTGCTGCGTCGTTCAAGACAAACTTTTGAGAGTCTGGACCCATGTGCAGAATTTGTGGAATTGGGTCTGAAGATTGTGTCCCTTTTAAAACACCCGACATCTAATTTATGAAAGCAAACACCAAAAACATTTGGCTGTAAAATCTTCATTGCAGATAAACCAGATAGGATGAACTCTATGTTTTCCTCTTTCACTCTGCACCATAGACAGCTCTGCACACAACATCCAGCACACACACAATAAATTAATACATTTGAAGAAGACTCACTAATAACAAGGAATAATTCTGAAGCAGCATCAACACAGGACAAGATAACACAACATGACCAACAGAACAGATTCTGTTCTACAAAACCAAAAGCAAGAGTTTAGATACATCCTCGTTTAAACTTGTTTTATTTTATTTACCACAGTTGATTCTTCTATGTCACTCAGAGAGTGTGCACATATAGTTTATCTGTTTTTTTTTCAAGTGATAACATCATATCAGTGTCATCTCTCTGTCTGGGACTCACACGCATCAGATGGACTCAGTATTCAAATCATGAGGCCGGAGTGTGTGCGTTGACACAGAGCTCTATTCATGGATGAGCAGGCACATCAGAGGACAGGGAAGGCAGCATAAACAAAGAGGTCAAACAGATCAGTCCTGGAATCTTCAGTCAGTGCATGAGAATGAGCAAGCACCGAAACACACAGTCTGTACAAGAGGGCTACACAGAGTGTGTGTCTCTTCTTTTTCATTAAAACAGTCACACAAAGGTCACAACACACTAGTTTCCAGCGTCGAAGCCACTCAGCTGCCTCGTGGGTCTGATGGCGACTTCAGCGATGACACTTCACCTCCTCCACCGCCCAGACATTAGCTGTGTCAGCATCACCGTGTGAATGAAGTGTTTAAAGATTAGAGTCCAGTTTGCAAAGCGTCAACTCCTGATCAGATCTGAACTCTGACCTCCAAGGATACATACATATGAGTCCATTTATATCCAATCCAGATTTATTATCTTAAATATGACGATAATTTATCTTTCATAATAAAATTTTAATATTTAATTTATCATCTATACAACACAAATAATAGTTCATAATAATGATAATTACACACACAAAGACAAACAACCATTCACACCTACGATCAATATAGTCAGAAACATCCCAGGATTCAAACCAAGAACCCACTTTATGTGAAGCAGCAAAGTTAACCATTGTACCACTGTGCCACCACCCCTTTTTGAACACAACTTCACTATACAAGAGAAGTTGGGGTTCACTTCCCACTTCACCCTAATCACAGACATCCGTCCTCCTCCTGAATATTTTACCAGCATCAAAACCTTTTTACATGTTTCATGAATAAATAATATTCATGAATTCTGACTGTCACAACCAGTGAGTATCACAAATGCTTGTGTCTCAGTCTCTGCGCGCTGCTGGGAAAGTAATCTGAACCTAAACTGTAATCTGATCAGAGGTGATCTCCCCCGTGTCTCTGGATTAATCTTCAAACAAATCAAATCTCAGTGCAATCTCACCTCCACGAGCACAATCGAATAAAATCACCAGACGCGTTCAGATATAATATATATATTTTCATCTGCCCGTGTTGTGCAGTGTTTATTTTTTAGAGTTACAAATCTGAATAGTGAAGGGATGATATGTAAAGATCACTGAGTCCAGACGATCAAATCCTCTGTTCATCTTAAAAAACGGAGAAATTGGGACGTCTCATGAAGGCTGGATGTTTTTTTAAATTGTGATTTTAGAAAAGAAATGTTTCCAGAGTAAAATCTCAACTTTGTCCTTTTCTTCAAACTCAGAGATAAAAGTCAGAGATAAAAGCATCAGACTCTGGACGACGACTGCATCCTGGTCCTCAAATGGACAGAGTCAACTCTTTGGTATTGATCGTCAGCAGTCAACTTTGTCCCCAAAGTGTAAATCCCTCTCGTCTTCCGTTGCCAACAGCA